CATGATTGCAAGATTGCTTTAAGGCAAGAGTGTGAACATTTCCTATTTTCCAATCATATCTTTTAATATGGTATTGGAAAAAGGTTTTGTTCCCAAAACACCTGATTTTTGTTTTGAGATTTGCTTATTTGCAGCATTGTATATTATTGGTTTTTATTTTTTCTTGCTTTGGTCTAATGTTTTTTGATGTACTATACATTAGGTAGAGCCCCTTTGGCAATTGAGGTAGCTTATTTATTTACTTATAAAATAAAATAAAGATTTTAATAAACCCTTGCTTCCTCCTCTTTGAAAAATTGTAATAGGCTTCTGGGCCTAATTCAAAGCATGGCCTGTCACTTATGAAGCCATCAATGGTGTTTGTACAGGATTCATTGGGGTCCACTTTCCCAAGCGTGATTCTCCCTTAAAATTGAAAAAATTTCAACCCCCATATGAAGTGAAGAGGGTTTTAACTTGGCGGCTGTGGTAGCCCCACATGATAAAAAACGCAGAACCCAGACTAACAGTTGGCTCCCGCGCCCCCTGATTTAGGAAAACCCTTAAAAACTGATATCAGTGGGCCTTCAGACTGCAAGATAATTGGGGATGTATTGTTTTTATGATATTAAGTCATTAAGACACCATGTTTTGGTTTGTCGATGTACACTATAAAGAGTTGGTTGCATTGGGGTGGTCTGTTAATATTGTAAATGAATAAGACAAATAATCAAAGTATTGTAGGCCTCAGACTTTAGGCATAGCAGGCCCTAAGGTTTTTAACAAGAGCAGTTACCAAACCAACATTTAGAGAAGTCCTCTTACTTTCATGCTATTGTCAGCTCAGGAAAGTATGGGCCCAATTTCTAAATGATGTATCCAATGGTTCATTGAATTTTCCACAGATGAGGCACCCACATCCACAACTTTCCAGGCCCCCACAACCGCCCTCCAGGTTCCTGGCCCGATCTATGCCTAAATTCTAAATTATTTTAGTTGTTTCCCTTAATCAGATTAAAAAAACAGCCAATGGACAAAATAGGTGCCCTTATCGTCTGACAGAGATGCTTGCGGTCTAACATTGACTTGCAAAAGATAAGACGCTTCATTTGTAAAATGATGTGACTGTAAAGTCCACAGAATAGACTTGGGGTTTAAACCCAGCATTTCCCATCTGAGAAACTCTTCTGGTCTTAGATCAGCTGAAGCTGAAATCCTAAAACGTTTTGCTCACTTAGTAATGAAAAAAATGCTGCATTGGCAATCCTCTTAAAGCTTGTGTATAGCAGTACTTTCAGGGAACAGTGCTATCAATTATGTGTAATTATGTATTACTGAAATAATAAAATGTATTTATTTTATTGCTAGGCCTCTCACCTGCATGCTCTCAGCAAGCCACAGCATTAAACAATAAAGCCAACCATTAATAAAAGATGACATTAAACCAATACTACCAATACAAATAGAGCCTCATAAAATATTAGCAAAAGAGCCATTAAATGTAAATGATAAATACAAAGTGCCAATCAGAAAGGGAAGGTTTATTTCCCTTTCCACAAAGGTATTGGGAATTAATCATTTCAGTCTTCTTCTGCTCGTATCTGCATTCTGAAGTTAAAGAATATTCGAAACAACTTTGTCCAACTAATATTCTTCAAGTACATTAGAATAGAATAGAATAGAATAGAATAGAATAGAATAGAATAGAATAGAATAGAATAGAATAACTTTATTGTCACTTTGAATGTACTCTAATCGGCATACATTAAAATGAAATTAAGTTGCATACAGCTCTCAAAGGGTCACACCTCCAATATACACTACATAAACGTGATAAAATCAATAAATACAAAATTATGCATACACCCCATGGAGAAATAACATAGTCTAGTTCGGATGTATACCAGTGGTGGGATTCTACCGGTTCTACCTGGTTCTGGCGAACCGGCAGTGGCGGGAGGCTCTGCCTACCCACCCAGATGTCATCACGGACGCTCTCCGCATGTGCAGAGGTGGTGAGCGCGCTCACATTTGTGAACCGGTAGCAAAGGTAAGTGAATACCACTACTGGTGTATACATGTACATGACGAGAAAAACAAATCTTGTGAGTTTGCCAGACAGATAGCATAGGGAACAGAGCTGTTACAGAATCTGGTAGTCCTGCTAGAAATACTTCGAAACCTCCTCCCAGAGGGGAGCAACATAAAAAAACTGTAAAGTGGGTGTGTGGGATCTCTGACAATGCTTTGAGCTCTAAGCACATAGCACTTACAAGCAGTATCCTGAATGACAGGAAGTGAGCTTCCAATAATCTTCTCAGCTGTCCTTACCACTCTCTGTATGGACTTTCTATCTGAGGCACTGCAGCCACCAAACCATACAGTGATGCAGTTTGTTAAAACGCTCTCAATTGTGCCTCTGTATTAAAAAGTGGCCAGGACCGAAGGAGAAAGATGAGCTATAAGTCTCATGCCGAATGGGGGAATATGGAACATGTGATATACATAGTAAGAGACCAACTGATTCAGGCAGTGAAAATTGAAAAATCGATGCCCCATCCTACATATACTTAATATAGAAACTTAAGAGCTCCTGGATAATGTATTTGCTCCTAAGAGTGGTATCTGATGATTGGTGGCCCCCTGCCTGATTTGAAATTGATGATTTTTTATTTTTTTTTTGCAAAACTGAAACTTATTCCTTTGTGGGTTATTGTTGTTGGTCAGCATCAAGCATCCATGGGTCTTCTTCATAATACAGGTAAAGTGCTCGACTTAAAACCATTTGTTTAGCGATGGTTCAAAGTTACAGCAGCACTGAAAAAAGTGACTTATGACCATTTTTCACATTTACGACTGTTGGAGCATTCCAGTGATCACGTGATCAAAATTCGATCACTTGACAACCAGCATGTATTTATGATGGTTGTAGTGCCCTGGGGTCATGTGATCACTTCCTTCTGACAAAGTCAATAGGAAAGCCAGGTTCACTTAACAATTGGGTTACTAACTTAACAATTACAGTGATTCATTTAACAACTGTGACAAGAAAGGTCATAAAATGGGGCAAAATATCACTTAACAACTGTCTTGCTTAGCAATGGAAATTTTGGGCTCAAGGCTATCTGCACAAAACTTTGTATGCATTTTTATTTCAGTAAACAGGCATACCTTACTATTTTCGGTTGACTTCTACCTGACTCATGGTGGCTTCCAAAATAACATGTTATAATAAAAGATGTATAATAAAATAGCCATGGTCCCAAAATCCCAACCATATAATATAGCAAGATATATTCAAGCAAAACCAAAAAAATCAAGATCAATAGATAATGTTTTTTGGAAATAACAGAAACAATATTTCATTTTGCAGAGCATTGTTTTAGCAATCTTATGTGAACTTCAGCTCTCAAAATACGCCAGCCAGCATGAATTCTGGGAGTTGAAGTCCTCATATCTTAAAGATGCCAAAGTTGAAAAACATTGCTGTAGAATTTCTTCTGATGTAGAGAAGTGCCACAGAGTATCCTCAGCTTACTGATGTCACCCATCTTCCTCCTTTTGCTAACTGTTCTTGCTGATTTCATAAAGTTGTTAAACAGTACTATGTCCATGATTGATCATTCAACCATTGCTTTAGATTAGAGGTGGGGAGTGATGGCCCCTTTATGACTTGTGGACTTCCACTCCCAGAATTCCTGGGCCAGCATGGCTGACTCAGGAATTCTGGAAGGTGAAGTCCATAAGTCATAAAAGGGCCATCATTCCCCACCCCTGCTTTAGTTTGTGCATATAATCAGGCAATAATCACAATGTAAATTCCCCAGGGCACAAGCTGAGGACAAGGTTAGGTTCTTGTGCTGAAATTCAGCAGGTAAGGGTTGGTGAGCATTTCAGTGAGACACGGCTTGGACAGCTCCAAATCAGGTCTACCATCTTGATTTCTATGGAGGGAGGGAGGAGGGCATATGAAAGTAGCAATGATCAATAATTTACATGCTTATATTTTGTCGTTTGAAGATATTGGATCATGGGCCTAAAACAAGAGCTAAAAGCAGCTTTTAAATGGCATTGAATTTAGCCATAAAGTCTTGTCAATGTGGTGCTTTTTGTGGGTTGAACTTTCACTGCAGGACTTCTCAGGAAGCAAGCGATAATTTTATACATGCACTGACATCTTTCTCTATCACTTTATTTATAAAGACACAAAGTGCTGACTTTTCAAAGTTGAGGTAAATTTCTAATCTTGGAGAGGTTTTTTTTTTTTTTTAAATATACTGTTTAACCTCGATCATATTTTTATGTTTTCTTTGTTAGATTGTAGTGGTTGGTTGACTAGTTTGTTATATACCAGACATTGGACTATGCAGATGAATTGCTAGATGCCCAACTTACGGTGGCTCAAAACAGCGCCTGTTTAATCAAAGCCGTGCATTCCTGTTTAGAGCAGCTATCGCTGACTAAATCTGAATTTAATGAAGCAATTTTATTTGAAAATACTGTGAGCAGGAAAGCGGGTGGCAACTGAGTCAGTTGAACCCACCTTTTAATTCCCCAGCTGATCTCAGGCCTGGCTGTTGGCAATGAAAGGCCACTTCTGTGGACCTGCGTCCTAATTTCATTTCTGCAAAGCAGATTATTGGTGTCCCATAACCCTGTAATTAAGTTTGTTCAATCTCTGCAGCATAGCTTATTTTCTGCAAGCAAGAACAGGGCTTTGGCAATGCAATGCAAGGGCATATCATACTGGATAGACAAAAGATATTTTCCTCAGCAATATTATACAAACACTTAAGATGTAAGTCTTAAACTGGTGTTCCTCAGCTGGAAGTTCTAAGACTTGTAGTTCAAAATATTTGGAGGAGCCTGGTTGAACATGGTAATAACAAGGCAATTCCATATAGCCACCAGCCTCATTCCTCTTGCCCTTTTGTGTGGATATACCAAATCCTCAAGACTTCTTCATAAGGCTTTAGTGGGTGAGAAAAGGGAAGGAAGGAAGGAAGGAAGGGAGGGAGGAAGGAAGGAAGGAAGGAAGGAAGGAAGGAAGGAAGGAAGGAAGGAAGGGAGGTTGGCCAGTGTGAGAGTAGGAAAATATTTGCTTTAATCCATCCCCTCTTCGGTAATTATTTTCCTGATGGTATTTTGTTTTCAATGAAGATGTTTAAAAAAGCAACTATCAAGGTGAAAGTTGAGGCAATGTAGTATCTTGACTTCAGGCAGAAGAGTCTGGAAGCCAGGAGGTAGGAAGAACAGGTTCCCGCCAATGAGAAGCCATTTGTCTCCAGGCTCAGAACAAATGCTGTAGGGTTAAAGGTTAGTTGGCTCTACTTACCAAGCTTTTGAATGCTCTACCATGGCTGATCTCAAATTGATGCTGTCCTTCCATTATAGAAGGGTTCTTAAAGGAGGCAAGGAGGTTACATTAAAGCAAAGATTGTTTAGAATAAAATGGATCTTTGAGTTCCAGAGCAATAGGTAGAACTTTTTTCAGGTCAGGAACCTGGCAGGTTTGAATCATATCTGGGCTGTATTCCAAAAGCCATAGAACAAAAATAAAATTGATTGCCTTCTATTTATATGCAACTGAAATTTAGTATAGTCAATACATTTGCTCTACAGGCATGTCTTTAATAAATTACAGTCTGGGAGCTACACTAGTGGCTGTAAAGGTTCTGTGGATCTTCAAAGACCTTTTAACATTTGGAAGATCACCTCTGCCTGATTATATCTCCCCTTATCAGGTTCAAGAGAAGAAGTATGCTGTAGGTCCAGCATGTGAGGGAATTACATCTGTTGGAACCCGGGAGAGATGCCATTTCACCCTTCCCCCTGAGTTGAGACTGGCCCCATCTTTGACCTCCTTCCAAAAGTCCTACGAAGCATGATTGTATCAACAGGCTTGAAGATCTCAAAGTAATGTGGAATTAGTGAGGAGGCTGCATTGCCTTTTCCATCAAATTCTCTCCGATCTGTTAATAGCACATACTGTTGTTTGTTTTTCATGGTGTGCCACCCAGAGCCACATCTTGTGATACAGGCAGCTATATACAGTAAATATGAATAAATAAACGGCTTGCATGTTGCTCTCAGACTTCAGTTTAAGTATATTTCCAGTTTCCGTTGTGGAGCTGTTAGAAGCCATGGAAATAAAAATATAACGTGTATATATTATAAACCAAGAATGTTGAAACTCATGTAGACTGTGGGAATAAAATTACTCATTGATTAAATTTCCAAGTGCTAAGACAATTAGAGGGTCACTGTGGAACGGTGGTTAGAATACTAGAGACCATGTTTGTGTTTGACTAAATCACTATACATTGTGTTCACTCAACAAACCAAGCCACAGTGTGGCCTGCTTGCCCATGTTTTAGCATGTTGTGTGAACACAATGTATGTTACTTTAGTCAAAAAGCTGTAATTAAACTGGAACCTGGCTCACTGTGATGTATGACCCCAACCTGTGTGAACCCAGGTACATCTAGATTTGAATCCATACTGATTTGTGAAAATCACTCTGTGGAGCATAATTTTTGGCTAAGAATTAGTACTTGCATATGCATTTTTAGGCATTTTCTAAATTCACCTGATGGAATAACAACATACGTGACTTAAAGGTAAAGATTCCCCTTGCACATATGTGCTAGTTGTTCCCAACTCTAGGGGGCAGTGCTCATCTCCATTTCAAAGTTGAAGAGCCAGCATTGTCTGAAGATGTCTCCATGGTCATGTGGCCGGCATGACTAAATGCCAAAGGCGCATGGAACACTGTTACCTTCCCACCAAAGGTGGTCCCTATTTTTCTACTTGCATTTTTTACATGCTTTCAAACTGCTAGGTTGGAATATATGACTTATTTTAAACCTTATCACAAATTTAAAGGATATGGTTGCAATGTCTATGCGTAAGGTTCAGATTTCTGATAAAATAGAATTATTAAGACTTGATTAAGTAAAATTGCTATGCTGAAGAAGTGTTAACAGTTCTTCACATTTGCTCAGTTATGCTCACTTATTTCTGTATTGCATTTGCTAAAGCTTTAATATGGCCAATTGAATCAGGTCTTCATAGCATACAAATTCATTGTTTCTTTAAAAATATTTCTTAGAAGTGTTATTTTATTTATCTTTGTATTATTCAACATCTTCATAATTGAGCAGAGTCTTCTCTGATAAAATCTATCATTTTTCAATGGCTCTTCAAAATAAGTGAAGATACATTTCAAGAGGGAAGGTAAATAGGAAAAATCAAATGTTTTAATTTCTTGCTCTTTTCACCATGGAACACTATAACAATCGACACTTTCTTCTTGTGGATCCCTGAGGATTTAAAAATGAGGAGAGATTAAAACAAGTGGGTGCATGACAGCATTTATTTAACAAATTCTGTTTTCAAGTTCCAGTTCTATTTGAAATCTAATTGCTTCTCTGGGGAAGTCCTGGGAGCTGAAATTGAATGAAAATACAGATTTTGGTGTTTTAAATTGATTTATTAATAGCTGAATTATTTCTCCTTTGTCACATACTGTGAAAAGGTTCCACTTAAGTTATGGTAGAAACCACAGTCCAAGAGGCTGAATGCTTTCTTTTGATATTTAAACGGGTTCATTATAAAATATAACTTTTGCTGAGTTATCCATCGATAGGCAACTAATCTTCTATTGTTGCCTAGTTACATTTATGAATGACAATGGTAGAGTGATACGTGAAAAATAACCATGCTTAACAAACTTACAGGTTTCCTTTTTCTGATGTTTTTTTTTTAAATGCCAACCTTTTCCAACAATAAGGAAACATTTCCACAGTTCTTTCCTTAGCTCTTTTCTTTAAGAATTGTGAATTCTGTTCCTTTTACTCCTGCCTACTCTCCTCTTACTTTACATTTAGCCCTGTATGATATTCAGCCCTTTAACCCTTAGACTTCAGGAGGTCTAGCGCAGAGGTGGGTTTCAGCAGGTTCTGACCAGTTCTGGAGAACCGGTAGCGGAAATTTTGAGTAGTTCGGAGAACCGGTAATTTTATCTTTCTGCAGATGTGCTCCCTTGCTCTCTCTTAAAGTCCCAGGGAACAATCCATAAAGGAGGATGTAATCCACAAAGAAGGAAAACACATCAGCAACTTTGAGTCTTTCCTTCCACTAGACCTTCTGGGTTCAGGGTTGAATGCAGGAGCCCTATTGTTCCTCTCTTGACTATCATTCTGGCTATATTTCCTGGTACTGTTTGCATTGTCCTTGAGGGACAAATATGTGGGATTGGCAGGCTGTCAAAATAGCACAGTGGATGATTGTCTCTTTAGACCTTGTTCTTATGAAGATGTAGGACAGGTTGTTCTGGGGAAAGCCCTTAGGAACATGTTGTGCTTCTGTGGGCAACATCATTTTGGCTGCAAACTCTTTGAAGAAGCAAGCAAACAAAGTATTTCTATGAAAATCCAGCTTGGCTATTTGCAGTTTCTCATTCCTTTCTAGTTAAACTGCTGCATGAACAATCTCATGGGGATGCCATACTTGATATGCATGTAGTCCTTTCATCAAATAGCAGAGGTTCCTGTAAAAGAAGCAAAATTGTCATTCAAACCATAACATTGAGAAACTGGGCTGTTTCTTCATTCACACAGATGAAGAATTCAGAAGAAGCAGATTTGCAAGGGCCACAGTGCAATTCTCCTGCTTTTATTGTGCACAGTTGCCTGGCCTGATTTATAGAGTTGTTTTGCAATCTGCAAAAATCATCACCGTTCACTTATAGCACATCGTGCTGCTTTCACTATTTCTCTTTACATGCACACACAGCTGGATCAAAGAAAAAAAGAAACCAGCAACAGGCAAACTCTGCAATCCCCTTTGATGGGCTGTAGCCAGGAGCTGTCCATCTGGAAGCATGTTTGAAGATTCGGATTCAGCTTTGCTGAATCATGTAGTAATGAGTGTATGACTGATAGGGACATCAGAGGAATTTCCCCTTTTCTTCCCTGTTTTCCAAATTCCATCCAGCTTTCAGTGTAGTTTTGCCAGCATAGGAAACAGCTGCTTTCCCAGCCAGCGTTCAAGGCACAAACGAACAAATGTTTTATTACAGTCCAAGGCCAGCTCATGCATTCAAGGCAAGAGATGACTCCCAATAGCTGAGTCCAGCTCCTAGAACTTCAAAGTCACAGTGCAGAATCTCTACCATCCAGATGTGTTAGGCTGTAACTTCAAGTTGCTACAGGGGGAAAAGTAGAGCTGTCTGGAGATTAGGAACATTTATTCATTAACTCAATGACTTGTTTTTACATGAAGAGCTCCTTTCATTTTATTTCCACAAAAACTCAGTGAGATAGATTGAGCTGAAAGAGGATGATTGACCCAAAGATACTTAGTGGTTTTCCATGGCTGAGAGTAGATTTGACCCCAGGGTCTCTGCAGACTTATTCCAATACATTAACTCCTATTCCACACTGTCTCAAATGACTTCCTGGATTACCACCTCCAGAGGGCACACCAGGATGGGAAAAGGTTGTGTTTTATGGATTCAGCCATATCCTCAATAAATAGAATCCTAGCAATAAAGAATCTCTGAAGAAGCGTTTAAGAATTCTTTTTTAAAACAAACACCCCTGCTTTTGCAGTGAAAGCGTATGGAAATTAGATGCACAGATGAAAGCTACATTGGAAATAAATTTAGCTAAAATCATGAAACTTATGACTTATGATTTTGGTAGTCCCTTTGTCACACGTGGTGAAAGTTTAAATTAGAAGAATCTTGAGGGTTTTTCTTTTTGTTTTTCTTTTTCAAAGTGTGTAAACAGCTTTCTTTTTTTAAAACTACTTTTGGAACTTTTTAAAAAAAATTTATTGGTTTGGAAGATCAAATGCTATAGAGTTTGTCATTTCAATTTGTTTGATTAGTTGAAAGGACAGCCCTTCCCAATCTCAATTTCTGCACCAGAGAAACGAAGCCTCGATACCCATAATTTCAAAACTGCACCCTTACATTCTGTCATTGCTTCATTTCAAATCATTACATCTAATGTACCCTTCATTTGTCAGCTTTTAAAATACTGAACTACTTGAAAAGAGGTTAACTGGTATAGCAATCAAGAAACAAGCAGGAACACCCCCATTAACAGTGACGGGGCAAACCACTAGTATATAAACAGAGAGCAAACCCCGCTCCCTTATAGCACTGATGATGTAACCTAGTTGGGTAATGAAATATCTGCCAGAAAACAACCAAACTCAGAACACCACAAAGATTATTTGACATTTTTGAATAAAACACTGTCATTTCTGATTGTTTCTAACTTCTGTTGGGAAGGTAAAGTTATTTGTTCCAGAAGGAAACCTGGGAAACCTCCCTAAAATAAAAAGCTGAAATCAGACCTCAATCATTTCCTCTGTGAGCAATTGACTTTTGTTAAATTGCACCATAACTGGGACCCTGGCAATTTTTCAGAGTGTGATTGACTTTTTTTGTGGAAATGTTTCTCACACTGCTGAAAAAAAAAAAATTCTCATTTTTACTTTGCTAAAAATCCCAAACACAGTTGGGGAATTAGATGGAAACTCTAGCTGTTAACATGTGTTCCTCTAAATTGAAACTCCTCTGAAGTTGTTCTTTCTCCAGTACGAATATTATGATATAGCATTTCACATGAACAAATGCTTTGATATGTTTTTAGGTCTTGGTATTTTTTCAATACTTCTGATCTAGATTATTATTTTTTCTCTTTTAGTGTGTTTGTATGGGTGGGCGGGTGTCTTTTTCCTGTAATGTTGTCCCTTGCTGCTTACATGGAAGCATGTTCCAGCCTTTGCTTTCCTTCTGGAACAAGCAATTTCCCAAAAGAAGTTAGAAACAATTAGACCTTGACAGTTTTATTCAAAAAATGTTAAATAATCACTTACATACTTTTCAAAGTAGTTTTTTTTTAAAAAAACCCACAACTTGGCAAATGAATATTATGTTGGATGTTTAAATGAATTCAGTCTTCTATATGCTATCTTCACTTGCAACCCTAAAACATTAATAGAAAAATGAATACTGATGCACCACTTCTGTTGTGCATCAGACCTGTTGAAAATGTGTTCAGGCATATGCAGAAAAACTGCTAATTTTCTTTAACCTCCTCATTGCTGTTTGTTTCATTTTGTAAAGCAAAAAAGCATCAGTATATTTGCCAAGTGGTTCCATTTGAGAGGAACCCAAGGAAAGGTAAATGGTGCAAACCGCAATTCCAAGAACACAGAATGTGCAGATGTTAGGGTTAGGCACCAAACAACCCTTTTTTTTTCTTCTTTTACATATCTGACCTTGGTATACACAGTTTCTACTATCAGGAACTGGAGAGTTTGTACCAGGAAACTGGTTACTAGTAAATAGTGGGAAATATGCTAGTTCTTAAGATAGATATTTCATACTTAAAAGCTTCTGACAGTCCAAGGTGACCTTCCCCAAGGAACCTATCCAATACGTTTTATGATTCTAGACAGCTCTGAAATTTCTCTCCATCAGGTATCTTTAGAAGTCCCTGCTCTAGGGTCTAACCTTGCTTCCTTCTGTTTATTACAATTCTGCAATTGCATTTGCAGAAACCCAGGGAGTGAGTCCACTTCTTGGTGAATTTGTAGCCTACGCTGTTTACTACAAGCAAACTAATTCAGCCATAAAGATACAGTCCTTCTATTCAGAAGAGTATTTCTGTGTGCTTCTGATCACAACCATACAAATATACAAAAGTATGAAGGCTATTGCTTAACGCATTGTAAGCCGCCCTGAGTCTCCGGAGAAGGGCGGCATATAAATCAAATTAAAAAAAAAAAAAACCACCATCAGATACTGTAATTCTTCTAAGCGTCAAAATGCAGAAAACTTTTGTATCTCACTGGATTCTTGCCCTCACAGGTTCTTTTGCTGTTTATTTATTAAAACGTATTTATTAAGTTTTCTTTCATGAGGTTTTAAAGAAGCATGGACTGTGTGAACTAGGATGGGGAGCAAAAACTCGGGCAGAAAAGTTGAAAAGTCACAAATCATCTTTTCCATAAGCTCCCATGGTCTTCACTAGTCTTTTTTCTTGCTCTGGGAAAGTGACTTGATAGTTTTCTTTGACACAAGCAAAGTGCCTTCTATGTTTACCTCCTAACCCCAGAGCTGCCAGTCGGAAGATTAAATAGGGGGAAAAAATCTATAGTGTATCCTTATGGCTATGTAGTCTAGAGTCACGTAGCTTTTCTTGAAACTGAAATCAACTTTTCTTGAAAAAGAAAAGATGAAATGCAATGCCCCTTTTAACTTTATCCAAAATACAAACATTTAGTCATGAAAGAGATCAATTACAGAGCTGTGCAGATCATGGCAAAGCAGAAGCTTGGGAAAGGAGGTGATTAAAAATAAGTAGATCCAGCTGAGATGTTGATCTGGAAAAGTAGAGAAATTTAAAATCCCCATGAAAAGAGATAGGATGGAGAATTCCATATTAATATTACAGAATCTTTTTTACAAAGAAAAATGATCTGGAACCCAAATGAGAGTCAGAAATCAGGGTGAGATTTAAGCATCCAATTTTTTAGTTTGTAGAAGACAATGAGATTAACTTAAGCCAAAATAAAGCAACAAAATCCTAAGGGAAATTCCTTGGTAGATATATTTATCTATTATTTCAAAAATGTCTTAAATGTCTTTTTCGCTGCTTCTTTTTTAGATCTTTTTTCCCTAAAAAATTCAAATTTTTATTTGACGCTATGGAGACAAAGTTGCTTCATGCTTTTCCCAGCCTTAGTTCACAGCTTCTAAGGTTATGATTTTTTATTTTGTTTTGTTTTAAACTAATCTTTCTTCAGTAGAGGGAGACACTGAAGTAATCTGACTGTATATGTGATGAAAAGACATGCCTCACACATGGGAAAAGCTTCTATGTCTGGCCTGTGGTCTGAGTGGCTGGGATTGCAGCATGCCATTCAATATTAGTTTTAGAAGAGCTCTGAATTTTTCACTTGTGGTCACAATACTTTAAAATAAGTATGTTGAGGTAATAGCTTAGATCTCTAAACATTTGATTTATTGCTTTTTTTTTTTGCTCCCTAATGTTCTTATTGAAGGGATGTGGTGGCTCAGTGGCTAAGATGCTGAGCTTGTCGAGCGAAAGGTCGGCAGTTCAGCAGTTCAAATCCCTACTGCCGCATAACGGGGTGAGCTCCCATTACTTGTCCCAGCTTCTGCCAACCTAGCAGTTCGAAAGAACGTAAAAAATGCAAGTAGAAAAATAGGGACCACCTTTGGTGGGAAGGTAACAGCGTTCCGTGTGCCTTTGGTGGTTAGGCATGCCAGCCACATGACCACTGAGATGTCTTCGGACAGCGCTGGCTCTTTGGCTTGGAAACGAGCACTGCCCCCTAGAGTCGAGAACGACTAGCACACATGTGCGAGGGGAACCTTTACCTTTACCTTTTAATGTTCTTATTCACTCCCTTAAAGTAGCTGTTTCAAAGTCATTGCTTCTCTCCTAACACTTGTCAGTAGGTTTTCTTAATGAGAAAGGCAAGTAGCTGTATTGGGAGCATTCTTCATGGAACGCCTCTTCTACTATGATTTCCTGTTGAGATGGGAGGACAAGTAAGGGGTAAGACATCCATTTGCATGGCTCAAATCAAATATAGGATTCTAGGTTTTCCAAGGGTAGAATCCATGTCTGAAACTCTGGGAACCTCTACAAGGTATAACAATGGAACAAGATGAACCAGTGCTGTGATTTGGAACAGGGCAACATTCTATATTCTAAACTGATTCCTAAGGTTTGTAGAAGATTCTTAAGATTCCCAAGGCTGCACTTATTTTTAAGCTTTTATGACTTTTGTGCTACCAGGGGCAGCCCTGCAAAAAGTAATTGTGGCAAATCACTAGCTTAAAAGCAAAGACTGATTTGTGTATTTATTGTAATTAAATTAATACAATCCATTTCTTCTTTAGCCGTTACATTTACGTTCCCCTTTCTTTAAAGCAGTTTAGATGGGTATCTCCTTCATGTTATCTCTGCAATAAAAACCTCATGAAGTAAATTGCCTGAGGGTGTGATTGACCAAGAGTCACTGAATTGTGTTTCCTTGGCTTAGGATGGATCTGTACTTCGGTCTCTTCAATTATAAACCAATACCATAATAACTATATTATTATGATGATGATGTATATAATTACATTATAATTGTCTTTTTCTATTAGAGGGGGAAAAATACATTGGCAAGTTGGTCAAGGAGTTGCCCTTAATTTACTCACAGTGGTTTTCTATATAGCTTGATGCAATCTTGACACTTTGGGATTGCAACTTCCAGATTTTCAGACAGGATGACCCAAGGAAACCCTGTTTATTACAATCTGACATTTTACAGTTATCCCAATGAAGGTTTCCTGCCTGAGGCGGTTGTTGGATTAGAAGACCTCCAAGATCTCATCTCTTCTCTTCTCTTCTCTTCTCTTCTCTTCTCTTCTCTTCTCTTCTCTTCTCTTCTCTCTTCTCTTCTCTTCTCTTCTCTTCTCTTCTCTTCTCTTCTCTTCCCTTCCCTTCCCTTCCCTTCCCTTCCCTTCCCTTCCCTTCCCTTCCCTTCCCTACCCTACCCTACCCTACCCTACCCTACCCTACCCTACCCTACCCTACCCTACCCTATTCTTCTGCTTAGTGCATTTCTGAATCAAAGGAAATTTTCAGCATTCTAAGAGTATGAGAGTTTACTAGGCAAGAACGGTCTGCTGACTTTTCCTTGCAACTGGGGCTCAGAAAACTTATATTGAGGTTTCATTGCTGTGTTTCTTCCCATAACACTTGCCCTTCTCAACTCAGCAGCTTTGTAGATCCACGCGATGTGCCAAGACGAGAGAGATTTAGGACTGTGCTGTGAGTTGAACAGAGGAATGCGACTTAATCTTGCTTCACAAAGGGAAAACATACCATTTGCTTTGTGTCATTCTGTTTTAATTTAAACATAGTCTGGATAAAATGGAATTGATCCTTGTTACAGCATTATTGGGTCAACTGTAAATACAGCGGGCAGAAAGTATGCACTCATGCAGTTGATCACATGAAGGTTAAATGTATAAAATATTTCTAGAGTTATAAAAGTCAAAAGCTTTTATTTGTGGTGTGAGAATCAATCTAAAGCATCGCTCCTGCCTAAGGGGACCCTAATCCTTGGCAAATTCTTGGAGCCCTCTATACTATACAGCCCTTCTTTATTATGTTTATATTGGAAAATGCTGAGCTTTTTTTTCTCTCTAGTAACAAATTGCAACCAGCTTGCCTTCCATTGAGAATCTGTATACTGCACAAGCCAGAAAGAGGGCTGGGAAAATACCTACAGACCCCTCGCATCCTGCAGAAATTGAAACAGTCTTAAACTGTTTCAATTTCTCTCCTCAGGACGTCACTACAGGACATTGCATGCCAAAACAACTAGACACAAAGACAGTTTTTTTCTCCCATGCCATCACTCTGCTAAACATCTAATTCCCACAACACTGTCTTATGCCTAAATATATTTACCCATGCAGTAGGGCTGAATATGCTATTATCCTTCTTATCTTCTCATCTTTCCTACTACTATTTCCTATTGGTATCTTATGAGTTATCACTTGTTTGTATCTTATGATTTATGATTGTGTCTTATGATTTATGATCTATGATCTATTACCACTTTGTTGTTTTTGTGTACACACACAGCTTATGCACCGGAGACAAATTTCTTGTGGGCCCAGTCACATTTGGCCAATAAAGAATATTCCTATTCCTATGTTCCTATAAATAAAAAAATTGATAGACTTAGAACTTAGACTTAGAATAACTTTATTGTCACTTTTAAATATACACTAATCGGCATACATTAAAATGAAATTTCTTTGCATATCAGCTCTCAAAAGGTCACCATCTCCAATATACACTACATAAACATGACAAAAAATATATTATACATATATGACACAGAGGAACAACACAGTCTAGTATGGATGTATACATGTACATGGCGAGAAAAACGAATCTTGCGAGTTTACCAGATGGATGGCATAGGGAACAAAGCTGTTACAGAATCTGGTAGTCCTGCTAGAAATACTTCTAGAGATACATATTCTCCATTCGAATTGAAGTCAATCTCAAATAAAATGTATTCTCATCAAGCTGGGATATTTTGGACTATGGTTCTCGTGATTTCTTGCCACAAGCCTGGCTGGTTGGAGTTGATGGCTGAAAACCAAGACATCTGGAGAGCTAGCAGGTTGCCTTCTCCAGCTGTATGAGAATATTGCAAACGTCATGAAATATTAAGCTAAGCCGCCCTGTGAGCTTCAGCCTGTCAGTGTGAATAATACAAGTCAGGCTAAAGTGTCCAAGTTAGAAGTTGATGCAGTTGATGTATCCTGAAGCTTGAACAACAGGAGAGTAAAACAGAGCACAGAAACACATAAGGGTTGGTGCCTGTAAACTTCAAATAAGGGAGTTTGTTTTGCATCTTTTTCACTTCTCCCTTGCCTCTTACCTAGTGACCTGGTTGAGTGAAACAACAATTTTCCCTCTGGAAAAATATTGTGCTTATAATATGTGTTGTTAGGAAGCTACTTCCCCCCCAGTGATGGTCAAAGTCATTAATTTGGGTGTGGATTATCCCTTTGTTAAAAATCCATGGAAATTTCTCCTTTATCATAAAAGGTGTACTGTGCAGAAAGCAGTGATGTTGAAGGCTGGTTTGTCTTTGTAGTTCATTCTGTCATCACTGTCTCATAGCTAGAAGCTTTTAAGGGGCAGGAGATCGTTGGGTTGACATGTTAATCATGTGTGAAATGAATGGCTGCTTTCCTTTGCTTCCTTTTTTGTTTGTTTGTTTACTTTGATATCTAAAATAAGCTTCTTAATATATTCAGACCGTGATACTTCTCAGAGTTCATTCTTCCCCCTTTCCTGTAAAAAGTATTTGTCTGCTGAGCCAGTTTTTCCTCATTGTTTTGATCTAAAATACAAACTGGAGTTAGTTTTCCCTTAGATTGTGAGTCAGCATTAGCTGTTCCCCGAATAGCAAATTCAACATCAGGTAAATGTAGGTGTTACGTCTTAATTAACAGTAAAATAAAGTAAAAAAACAACAACAGCAACATAAAGATATTAATTAAAATATATTTTAGACTGCATCACAACCATATACATGAACATTCTCGCTGTGTACATGTTCACATGCATATTCATATCTATATGTACAATACTTATCAAGCAATAAGTCTATTTTTAGTTTAATTCAGTTGTGGATAACTATGATGTATGTGTTACCTTCAGTCAGTTAAAATACACCGATTCCTGACTATACTTATTCAGATTTATTTAATTTTGTAGCCTGGTGAACAAAGCAGCAAACAAAATGTTGTCACTTAAAAAAAACACTCTTCATTTTTTTAAAAAAATAGATCTTCAGAAAACTGAGCTTAATTGTGGCAGCTTCTTGATTATAGAGAAACCTGGATTAATAGAAAGAAAGGTAAATATATGTGAAAAGCAAATACTAAGCATTTAAAACTGAAGTTTTTTTTTTTTTAAAAAAAACCAGTTTCATCAGTGGTGAAATTCAGCTGGCTCTATACGGATCGCGCAACCTGGTAGCTCTGGTGGCGGGAGGCTCCACCCACCCATCCGGACATCATCACGTCCCGTTTTTGACCCTCTGTGCATGCGCAGAAGGGTCTCCGCATGTGTGGAGGAGGCGCGCGTGCTCACATTTGCGAACCGGTAGCGAAGGTAAATGAATACCACCCCTGATTTTCATATTATACTGTATGCTTTTAAAGTATAAAGTTGCTCTCGTGTTTCTTCATAAATGCAATGGCCTGAAACAACAACATAATGGGGTTAATTTGGTTCCTAATACAACATTGATTGCTGCTAAATTAGGAAGTACACATTGCAGCATAGCTTATTAAAATAGAACTGATTTAAAATTAAATTTGTACTTCTTTGCTTTCCCTTGAAAGGAAAATAAAAATTGATTTTTTTTTCTTCCTAGTGTTTTCCTGCAAGAAATAGGTCCACTTTCCCCCCCAAATCAACCAAGTGTTGCTTCATTACTTACGACAGCAATTGGCTGACTAGTTTGTCCCCCGAGCCTGACATTGTGAGCTGAAGAGAGAGTGACCGACCCAAAGCAAAATTAGAAAGTGATAGAATTGTCTCAAAAATACGTCCAAGGCCCATAACTGAAACAATATTCGAATGCTGTTTTCATAATGTGATATGTTGGATTTTGTGTTGTATTAATTCAGTCAGTTGTGATTTGTTTTGGTTTTTTTCCCTCCTTTTCCTTATGCTTGCCTTGAGGTAGTTGAAGGAAAAAAATGTGGCACATCTTTAACCTTGAGACACAGAGGAATAACGTACACTATTAGTTGGGACTGAAGACAATCCTTATAGTTATTCCTGCAAGTGTAAAGTTTCAAGTAGAACAGATGGTCTGAAGCATTCTTTTAAGGAGATGAGAGTTTGTTCCACATTGGATGTCATGAGTATATCAGTGGTGGGTTGTCCCCTGTTCGCACCGGTTCTATAGAACTGGTAGTAAAACCGGCGGGAGGCTCCACCCACTGACCCTGATGTCATCAAAATCCTTCTGCGCATGCGCAGAAGAGCGAGTGCACACACGAGTGAAGCGAGCGCATGCGCATGGCCCCATTGCGAACCG